TTCATTTAACCTAACAGTTTGCCTCCTATACGCATACTGTGGCAAACGCCTAATAGTGATGGTTACTAAAGAGCAGTTCAAAATGGGCGTATGCAGCTACTGGACTGGTTAAATTGTCCTTGCTAGGAGCAGTGCAGAATAAGAACCAAGATCTGTGCAGCAGTTGCTAAAACCCCTTTACCTCTAGCAACGCATGGCTGAATTTGAAATGGTGTAAAATTCACAGCTCCTTTTTTTTTTTTTTTTCCCCACAATAAAAAATAAACCCTTTTCCAATGAGTTTTGTTCTCTAAAACGCTGCAATTTTGTGTTTCCACATGCTGCAAGGGATGTTTATGCAGAGACACAGCCACGGGCACACTGCAAAATCCAAGCTGCTCAATCTGCTAAAACCCGGTCTTAGGCTGAGCCAAGTTAGCCCAAGGCCCTCACTGGAGAGAAAAAGGGTGGGGAAAAACACCCAAATAGCTTTCCAACATGTATTTTATAATTTATATAGTACAAATACAGTGTTTGTCTGGGATCTTTTTCAAGAAAGTGGCAAATGAAGGCCAGGTTGTAGGAAGGGGGGTTAACGGCTCACGGCTGCTGCTCACTGCAGAGCTCACAGCAATGACAGGGCAGCTCCTTAGAAACCTCCCAGGGATGCAAACGCACACAGGGTGTTTAAAACACTCCACGTAATACTTGGAAGCTCGAATTTGTCAGAGTTGAGGTTTCAGACATGGCTCAAAACTAGAATCAAATAGCATCAAAGCCCGTAACCAACCTCGGTTTAAGGTTGGTCAAAAGCCTGGAGATCAAATTGAAAATACATTGGAAAAGAATACAAAATATTTACTAAGGGGGACGGGTAACAATTTAAGAACAATTAGAATATTCTTATGAAGAAAAATTATTTTGAAAGGAAATGGGAGAGGCAAGTTCCAGACAGAAATCACAAAAACCCCTTAAGAACAGAAAAGACACAAGGCATCACACAGTTGCAAGGTCTTGAAGACAATTTGCTCTATTAAATTCTTATTTTATGAATACTAAATAAACAAAGAATTTATATGGTAAATTGATTTTTTAGATTTGAATATAACAGTTATTTGAAAGATACACTGCGCACTAAGGTGTTGCAGGAAAGAGAAGTTCTGTGCATTAAGAGAGAAAAGTTTTCTTAACGTGAAGCTCTCGGGCAGGCACTAAAGCAATTTTAGTCTGTGCCACTTCAGACCATTCCTAGTTTCGAGGTGTCCAACTCCGGCTGATCACAGCTGGGAACGGACACCTGCCCGGCTGCCTTTAGCAACACGAGGTTCTCCAGCACTTCCTCCTCCTTCCAAACACCCCATTCCCACCCCTGGTTTGGATGGTCGGGATCGTCCCTGTTTCTGTTCGGGGAGTTCTGACAGCAGAATGCTGTCACACTCTGTCCCAAACCACGTGTAGGGCACGTTCGTGTGCTCTTTCTTCAGGACATAGGAAGAGCAATCACACATATGATAGAATGTAGAGCAATCTGAAAATGACTGCAATGTTAAGTTAAATAAAAATCAAATGATTTTTAAAGAAAAAAAATAAAGCTTTTCCTTAGGCAAATGCTAAACATTTAGGAGGCAGAATGTGCTGGAGGAATTACATATGGGATTAAAAAGAAAGAAATCACGATCATCAACTTAGCACAAGAAAATTACTGGTGGAAAAAAAACAGTAATTTTGCCAATTTCATATTAAGGAAGGACTTGGCCTGTGCTGTATAACAGTCAGTTAACAGCAGCTTAGATACAAAGGAAGTGTTTTAAAAACCTTTTGCATTTTTCCTTTTTTTCTCCCCTTATTTCTCCCTCTTCATTAAAATGTAGCAACTGAAGGAGAAATGAGCCTAGACAGCAGGGGTAGGGACCACAGTCCTGAGGCTGCAGCTTAGGGACCTGGCCTCGACCACAAGCAAAAGCCAATCCCTTGGTCAGAAAAGGTGTGACAAATTCAGAAATGTCACCAACTGCTTGGGAATAAAGGCTTCAATCACGTTGCTTCCAACAGACCTGTCCCGCAAGTAGATGATTATCTGCAAAATGCCAGTCGTGACATCAAGGCAGCAACTCAGAGACGGGAATATTTGCCTCTCTAAATCAAAGGCAGGTGAGACAAAACAAGACATCCCAAAAGACTTGGTCAGAAACCTCAGCCTGATCTGTCCTTGGAAGGGCTATAAGGAAACACTCAGGTGGTGCTCACATGGAGCCAGGTTAACCCAAACACAGAATTAGCATCAGCTCTGGTTAAACATGCGGATTACTAGCAGTTACAGCAACAAGTCTTTCAAGAATAAGACCTTCCCTGAAACACCCAAACTGAGATTCAAGGCTGTTAAAGGCATTTAATGAAGCCCAACACCAAGCAGATTCAGTCCTATCAACATCACGCTGATTTAATCCTACCCGTTTCTCATAAATTAGACCTCAACCCACCACGCTCACATGCTCATCATTACAACTTTGCTCAACTCTTCAATTACCTCCTCCTGCAAAAGGTTGGAAGAATTAACCACTACATGGCTGCAAGTCACTTCCTTAGTCATAATGAATAACACTTGGTTTCCAATGGGTTTATGACTTGCAACTAATGAGCTCCGACTGAAGCTTTTCCCAAGACTGGATCACGCAAGGACTCTCCACGCCAAGAAGTTCCTCTGCCAGATAAGACAGGAACTCAGAAGCAGTTTTTTCCTTGGACACTTGCAGTAATTTTATCATCTTTATCATCCTTGACATTGTTACCTCTGCGATACACAGACAAAATAAAGCATCACGTTCAACACAAAACGCAAAAGCAGACTGAAGTATCTATTTTAACTCCACAGTCGAAAAACAAAACCACCAGAAAATTGCTGGATTACTATTCTTTGACAGGGTGATCCTAAAAACAAGAGCAAAGCCAAGTTGATATTATTTATCCAGGGATCCCTTTGTAATGAGAGAGGGGATGAATGAACAAAATCTGCAGCAATTCTCTGATCTTTTTCAAACAGCCTGTCAGCAAAGTTGTCTCGTCTCTACTCCTATAAGTCAATATTTACACATAAACAAGTGAATTTAAACTGCACAGAAGTATGTGACATGGAGTCGAGCACAAGGTAGTTCTGCAAGAGCAAACCTTCAAGTCAGAAAGCAAATTTGACTTCAGCTCAAGAGCTAAATATACGACATCTAATAAAACAAACATGAGATATGCACCCAGTGACACTTAATTCCTAAGCCCAATATGACTGATAACCTACAGAAAATTGATCAAGTACTTTGTCAGGGAAGTCCATATTATACTCATTTTACAAATCATTGAGTCACAGAAAGACTAAGTAACATTCTCAGGGTCATAGAGCAGGTTACTAGCTGAACAGGGGAGAAAAAATAACCCTTAGGTCAACCAAATCCCAGTACTAGATACACTTATTTTAAGACATCCTTCCTCCCCTATAGGAAAAAAGCACCGACTCCTTGCCAGCTCTTTGGTTACATATATAGTATAGGCAGCAAAAACACTGAATCTGTTTTATTCCATATAAAAAACTGCTGCATGCAAGACTTAATTCTTAGCTATGTTTGAGGTACTTCTCAACAGTTGCAGAAACAAAAGTGAACAGAATTAAAATCCAATTTCACAGTCTATTTAAAGAAATTAATTTCTAATTTTTCTACACCGATGTAAACACACTTCAAAGATGTCAATTACAATGGATTTACAGATAATTCCTTGTCCTCCAATTTATTTTCAATCCCAAACCATGCTTTCTGGCAAAGGAATTCAATGTTAAATAGATGAAAGATGTGTTGTCATTAAAAATAATAAAAAGGAATTACTTCTCTACTTAATATTAAAGGCTGGTGAAGAAAATTATTTCCTCTAAAAACTACAGCAGAATTGAGTAAAAAAAATATGTCTGCTTGAGATGTAGATTAAAGAGGATAACTTATTTAATGAAACTGCAGTTTTCTTCTTTAACATTTTTATAGCTCATAGAAGAAATATGGTGGTAATTTAAACACTCAGCTACTGTACGAATTATGGACATGACAACTCCTTAGTTAGATGTCTTGTGAAAAGCATCAGATATGCACATGGCAATCAAAAGTCACAGCAGGTTCCCCAAATCTGCTTCTTTCCAATACATCTGATCTCTGTACGAGTAATTTATTGTGTGATTCCACACAGATGTTCATAAACATCTACTTTCCCTCTTCCACACTGCAATCATTAACGGAAGGGAACTTCTGTGTGTTTTGTACCTTTGGGGAAAATAATATATGGGTTTTTATTTGAAAAAGGTAACAGTGCACAAAATAATTTTTCTTTTACCTATTTTCACACTCTGAAAACCACATAAACTAAAATTTTAAGACAACACATTTGTGAAATATTGAGAAGGTCTCAAAGTGTGCACTCTACCCACTGATGGAACTAATAAATCAAGGGAAAGCAGCCTCGTGAAACAGCCCCGTGCTGTGTGTTTGGGAAGTTAGAGACACACAAGAAAGCAGGGTCATACAGTGCCATTCCCGTTTCTGATATTAAAAACATGAAGGCATTTGCACACCCAAAGTAACAACAATATGAAATTTTGCTGATTTCTACAAGAAAAGATACATACTGCTTTTTTAAGCTGAAGGATTTTTTCATATAGCCTTTTATTATATCAAATAAAATAAGGATTCTATTTATACAGAAAGATTCCAGTAATAAAGTGAAGCCCATGTTAGGACAAGATGCATCCCTGCTTCTCCCCCTGGAGAGATTGGTTCAACAATTTTACAGTTAAACAGAATTAATTCTCCCCTCAAAAATCCATTGACCTTAAGCTTTTAACAAACATTTTCAAACTGCAGAGTGTATTGTCAATATTTACAAATCCTTAAAATTATATTTCACTAGAAGAGCTTTTATTTGCTATATTAATATTTCTTTGCAAATGTATGCTTATCCATCTCCGAGAAGAAGAAACAGCTGCTACTCACGGGAAATCTCTGGGGTCCCACGGCAGGTCTTGGCTGGGCTGGAACTGGCAGCAAGGGCACTGAAACAAGAAGCACCTTTTAACACCATTTGTTTCACCTAATGGTCATTGCTGTTATTTCCAAGGCAGTTGCTTATGAAGCCGTGATTAAAATCAGCTCCACTTAGCCCCTACGTGGCACTGCCTGCACGTTAAGCAGGCATCTCCCCAGCACCTCCAGCCAGCAACAGGGCAGTCTGGGTTCTCCTCGCCCATCTCCGCTATTTAATTCTGCATCCTCCAGAAACTGAGGGCCTCTTGGTTCATGGAGACTAATTACAATACGCCTCAGCCAAGGATTTCTCTGAGGCAAAGCTGGCAGAGATTCAAACGATGATCTCACGTTCACCAAAAAGGTGCAGGATTAATGAGCCCTCTCACCCCTAACCCTCAAGTTCTCCCAGGTAACCCCCCCCCAGGCTCTCCACTAACTTTCCACCCCAGGCACAGGTACCGTCATTGAGCTGCCATTTCACAGAGAGAAAAAACAGCAAGTCCTCTTCATGAAAACAGTTTGTCCAAAATTGAGATATTGAGTGGACTAGAATGGCTGATTTTTGGATAACTGTACACCAAGAAGCTCGTTACCAAAGAGCCTCCCTTACCCTCCCAAATGGTGGATCACCCTGGGGACAGAAGCACTTTCTGAAGCCTCAACATAACAAAGTGTAAAGACACATCTCCCAATTTTCAGGACACTTCCCCCTCCCTACTCCCTCTCTTTGTCTCAACTATTAAAAATGTTTTTGTGTTAAAACATAAATGAAAGGCCCGGAAAAGAAGCAAAGCATTTCAATTAAACAGGACCAAATGTGTTTCTTCATTTTCTTACAAAAATATTTAGTTAGGGTATTTTTCTCCAATTTATTTTGAGTGTTTTTGAAAGTAACAGGAAAACTGTTTCCTGCACAGAGTCCAACATTAACTTCTTAGACAAGAGCTGCTGCATTACCTTTCACAGCAGCCAAGGCGCTAAGCAGCACACCCGACGAATCCCCAGCATTAGCTGCACTTCCCAACAGTTTGGTAAGATGAGGCACAAGAACTAGTGTAATCCTGGTTATTTTTGAAGTTCATGTCCCTGCTTCTATTCACTTTTGTTAGTGCTTGTGGTTTGCTGGTGCCCGCATCGACACCAAGCTCAGCAGCCCTGTGCCCTGCAAGGGTGCACGTAAACTCTCCATCCACCCGCATGAAAAAGCTGCTTGAACGGCCTCATCTTAGTCTCTAGGAAACATCTATCTATATCATACAGCCATGACAAGTTGGAAAAATAGACATGTGCTCCTGAAAGAGCTCCTGGAAGAGCTAGGACTAAAATAGTTCAGGTATTACAGGTCAGAGAAGCACTGAGAAAAATCGCATGGAGGGGAAGAGCAGGGAAACAGCAGCTGAACAGAACCCACGTGTGTCTATTTTGGAACCCTGCCTCTGGCAGTGCCCTATATTTGTGCATGTATCTTTTATATATATAATTATATATATTTAGACAAATGAGTTTAATACTCATGAAAAATGATGGTTCAAACTCAACCTCCCTTCAAACCCTGGGGCTCTCTTGCTGAGGCAGCAATAACCACTCGCTTTCCTGATGTCACATCTTGCCCAGCTCTGAAAGGTGTGTTGCAAAAACAACACACGGGCACTATTTGTTAGGCACTATTTAGGAGGATCACATTGCTTTGGGCTGCAAACACTATGGCTACACCTGAAGAAATGAAGCAGCAATTCCCATGCTGATCATTTAGTAAAAGTATAATGTAATTTTTCCCAAGATGCTCAATATTTTTTTTTTAAAAGGTAAATGACACGCTAATCAACTGAGCTGCCAGAAACTGCTCATTAGTGATTCTGACAGCATATAAAATGTTCTTGAAATACTTATCTGTACTATGTAGGGTAGAGAAAATAAGGGCAAAAAAATCCCAATACCTAAAATCAGTGGTTGAATTAGTATATTTATCTAGAGTCCTACTGCATGTCAGTTCATCATACTCCAATTCAGACGTGTTACGTCCCAAGTTATCATTTATAACACAAAACTAATTTACAGAAAGGAACACAAAAAAAAAACTGTATCATGGACCTGCATTTAAAAGACATGGTATTCCAATCCTGTAAAAGACTAATAGCTCACAACTAGTATCTGAAGAAATTACCAACAGAGGCTCACACAGCCACTTTAGAGTCTTGGATGGATTGAGTCCCTCTTACTCATATGTGATGTCTCAAAGAATGTAAAAAAATTGAGTGGAAATCTGAAGAAAAAAATAATTATTGAACCAAGATTGAAGGCTGGACAGAGAATGTGGCCATGAGATGAAATTTGCCTTTAAGACGAAAGAATAAGCCAGTAATAGGATTGTTCAGCAGAGCCTCAAACTCACTTTCAGGTTAAAACAACTGGCTCCCAGCAGTCCTAAACATCCTGCTTTATCCAAATGCTGATTTCATGGCAATTTACAGGAAGCCCAACATTACCTTAGGAGGCATTGATAACTACATTCAATAAAAAGGGAACTTAAACTGAAAAATATTAAGAAAGTAAGATTCCAGGATTTGGAGTCAGAACAAATATCCTTGATGGAGACAATACATGTGGGCTCAATTTTGCCATAAAATTATATAGGAGAAAAATAAACAAACAAAAAAGCAGCATGAGACAGCCTCCATGAAAACATGACAGCACTTCATTGAAATTAACAGAGCCTAAGTGTGACCACTATGCTCTTTCAGACATGCTATTTTAGCTTCCAGGCACCTCACTTCAGACAACAGATTCCCAATGTATCTGACCATGTTCACCTTATATGCCTGGAAACGGGCTCATCCATGGAGCAGGACATGATCAAGAAGAGGTCCGTTCCCACCTCCTTCATACCTCCTTTAACCCAAAAATAAATGATGCTGCAAGTCAAACAGTTGCCAACTGCCACGTTCTGCCTCAGGCAGAGGCATTAATCTAGGCAGGAGTTCCTTCTGATGTAGTAATGCAGGTTTTTTTGTTCTGTTTGGGAGGTTTAGGATTTTTTTTTCTCTTCCTCCTCAAGGAGTTTAGAGCAGTTTTCCTTACACTGACATTTCTGCTTCCCACTTACCTACAGTGACTGCTGCTGAATATGCAGAATTGGTCTAATGATGCATTTTACTATGCAAATATCACTGAACATTTTAAAATTGTGCTTCTCACTGCTGAAGCCCTGCTCTTGTTTTCCTTAGGGGTGCAGGAACTTTCAAGTAAGGAATCTCTATTGCTAGAGACCAAGGGACTGAGAAGGCTCCTACTCACTGCCACTGCAAGACTCAGCTTCCCATATACGTTCCTAAATAACAAAACTATCCCCAAGTTTTATAGTGATTTAAAAGATTGCATGTAAGGCTATAATGCAAATCCACTAGTAAAAGCAGCCTGCTCTAGGTGAGCAGCAGGACTGGGCTACATGATCTAGAGGGGTCCCTTCCAACCTCATCCATTCTGCATATGGCCATTCACAGAATCAATGGCAGTAGGCAGAAGTTTTGAAAAACAGATCACAAATCCTTACTGAAGACATCCTACAATGCAGAGGTAAATAACAACCTTAAAAGGAAAATCAGCAAATCAAGAAAATAGAAACATTACATTGGAGAGGCATGCTCAGTGTGGCAAGACTGAGGCAAACATGCAACTACTTGATGATGAGATGAAGAAAAAATGATGATATAAAATATCACGGCAAGGATATACCAGTATACTTTTGAAATAAGGGAAAAGCATGAGCCCCCAGGAGCCATTACTGGCATTAGGAGGAAGCTTGGTCACCTAAGTGCAGGAGGTTTGTTAACTACATTAACAGGAGGAGATCTAAACCTAATCTAAAGAAGCCTAAAATCAATTTTTGTTTTTCTTCACAAATCCAATACCCAGAACTACCGCTTTGAAAATGTTAGAAAAAATACACAGAGGGCTCATATCCAAGACTAAAGGCAGTTCTGGACTGCTTCCAGATAATCTGTCCTGATGCATAATTTGGTGGGAAGCACTGATTATATTAGACAGGAAAAAGTGAAATAATCTCTAGGAAACAGCTACTGTGAAGCCATCTGTGAGAAGCCTAACAGATTTGCCTCAACTGGCAACAGATGACTGTGCCAAATTCCCATCTTTCGTTGGGCAAATAAATAAAGCAAGTGGCTTGGAGTTCTGCCGATTTGTGGGGAAAAGTATGTAACACTAGCATGTAAATATCAATCTATATATTTCTACACACAAACACATATAGATACATACACACTTTCTGTCTAGTCCCAGCCAGAATCACAGATCAAAGCTATACAGGCATCTTTCTTTTCTTTATCCTCTCAGGGATTATACACTTCCCAAATAAGTAGTAATGTTAACAGCTCCTCTGACAGCTGTCCCAGTGTAGCCCAAAGGGTGTTTGCATTAAAGAAGTTACAGAAGTGTGTACTTCCCAGGTTCTGTTATCAAACAGATCGCAGCTGCGGTCTGAAAGGAGAATTGAAGGCATGTGTCTTGTCAAATGAGGGTGGCAGCTCGTATCTCACACGCAGCAACTGCAGTTCAGAATGCCTCGGTGCATTCACACTGATACAGGAGGGTGGTCATTCTGTGAATGCTTGGATGAGCCTAAAATGATGCGGGAAATTATAAAACTGCAGTGCTTACCTAATGCTGAAAAGTGACATCTGCTTTTTTTTTTTTAGCATACACTTTTCAATTTCCTCTTCCACTGCTTTTTGCAGGTTTTATAATAGAATAACAAATATATTAAAATGAAAAGGGCCTTGCTATTTCAGCTGGCCACAATCCAACTACATTATGTCTCATTTGGGGCAAAATATTTGCTTTAAGGAAGAGAATAGCAGCCTGCATCACAAGCCCATTAAGTGGTAAACAAAAACTGCTGCATCCTTGGCGCAGAGAGAGATGAGTCACACTCCAGTGACTGGGAAGGCGTTCAGAAAGCTCACCTTGCACGGGCGTCACTACCGTCCCCTTGAAATGTGGGTTTATGTGTATGTTCTTCGGTTGCTGAGGTGTCACGGGCGGTGGAGTCATCATTATTCTAGGGGTTTCTATCTGAGGGGGCATGTGTAGCCCTGGAGGAGGGGAAGAATGATGCTGATGCTGTAAAGGAAGCAGAGATTGTAACTGTTGCTGTTGCTGCTGCTGCTGTTGCTGTTGTTGTTGCTGCTGCTGTTGCTGCTGCTGCGGTTGCTGCTGCTGGAACAGACTCCTAACAGGTTGCTGGTGTGGTGGAATTAACCTCTGTGAATGAGTCTAAAGTCAGACAAAAGAATAAAGTCAATATGCTTTACAGTTCAAATATACTGACAAATAAAGCGGCACAAAACCCAGCCACCTTTGAAAAACTATTAGGACCAGGTTTTAACAGAAAAACATCTTTCTTCTATCACTAAATCCACTGAAATTGTTAAGAGCGATCAGCACAAGAAGCAAAGGAACAACTAAAGACATTAGTGTGAGGGCAAAGTGCAGGGAAGAGACAGAGGCTGCTACCAGCCAGCAGCAGCAACCAGGATGCTCAGGCTGAACGTCCCCAGAGGCACCGTGCAGCCCCGCAGAGGCGCACTGGTCCCCTTAGCCCCATGCTGGGCTCTCGGTGTGTCACTGCAGGCTGCCACCGAGGGCAAGGTGGCCTCTGTGCTGAACGCGAGGAAGCTCAGCCCTCAACCCCAGCACGAGCCCGCTAGCTCTTCCCTCACACATGCAAGGGCCTGACATGACAGTGCCAACGGAGCACAAAGAAAATCAGAACACAGATTAATCTAGATTTGTGAGAACGATCAGTGCAGCCCACCTAGTCGTGCTGCTTGAAGGGGAAAAAAAAAAAAGGCATTAAGCTGCTTTAAAGATATTTTTCAAGCTATTTTTCTTAGCGCAAAAATTCTGCTATTAATTTTTGCAAACATAACTAGCCAAAGCTTGACAGAAATCACTGACCTCACTGGCACTAAAATTGTTCTCTCAAGAACTCACAGACACTAAAAACTGGTCTTGAGCCCTCATCCTGCTCCTTTCAAGCAGTAGTGCAATCCAAGTCCCAAGCAGGCCACCCTTCAGCAACTCAGGATGTATCTGTTTGTTTTCAGCAGTCATGCATACAAAAGCTAAGCAGTTACCAAGTGTGAACATGAGGATACTGTGAGAAGCACAGAAATTGTTACAACATCTTAAACCAAGCACCGAAGATTGCAGGGATGCAAGGAAAAAAATGTGATTCCACCTTCACTGTTTTAAAAGCAGGAAATACTCTACTGCACAGCTGTCAACAAGGGAGCAGCCCATTGACTCCTGCTAGTGACCAGCACCTAGAGCTACCACTGCTGAAATAAAGCCCCTTTGTTTAATACCAATGACCCTGCCCTGCAAAGATGTATACATATCCCAGCTTCCAGTATACTTCAAGAAAGATAAATAAATAAATAAATAAAGTGGGCTACAAGTGGGCTGCCTCTTGACCAAACATCTACTGGGTTTATTTTACAGGGGAGGAAAAAACAAAAGGTATCTTTTGGTTTGTGCCACAAACCAGACACTTGGCAGGGGAGAAAGAGCAGAGATGCATTTCATCTGTAGTCCTAAGAGAGCAGAAAGTGATTCATCTAGTTGTGGCTACTTTCCTCTGTTTGTATTTGCCTTCAGATTAGTATGGTAGAAATATAAACAGATTTTTTTGAAGTAACAACAAAAAATTTAGTTGGATAACCAAAAAAAAAAAATCTACAGAACCACATTTCTTTCAGCTAAATTACTGTTAGTAGTGGGGACAAACATGCCTACATATCACACACAGAGAACTTCAATAGAAGAATCAATCTATTGCTCCATTTTTGCTGCTGCAAAGCAGTGATACACCTGATTATACCTGGATGAATCCAAATTCACTTTTCATTTGTGGACTTTGAGATTCCTCAAGTTGAGGCCAGAAACAAGACTAATCACCACATTACGCAAAGTCCACCTTGCCCCGAAAGAACAAGTTTATACTGAAATTTCTTCTAATCTTCACAATTGAGAATTTTTGAACAACTCAGACTGATTTTGATTCAAGGGGAAAGGGAATTCATTAAGATCTGCATCTCGGAACACGTTTTCCCCCCTTTTCCCGGGAGGAGGGGTACTTAGGCTGCCAAGGTACCATTGGGGCCGGCTGGCTGGGCAGCAGCGCGGGCCGGTGCTCCTTCATGCGGCCGCGGTCGCTGTTGTCTCGCCGCTGGTCGCCCAGGCCGTGGCACATGACGGAGCCTCCGCGGCGCCCTCCTCTCCTCGAGCCGTAGCGGCCCTGCTTGAGCTGCCTCTCCCTCTCTTCAAACTCGAGGAGCGCCGCTTTGGCCTCCGCGGAGAGCTCTGCGGAGAGAGAAAAAGGGGGAAATATCTAAGCTTCGTGCTCAAGAGACACAGAAAAAAGGCCGTGAAAGACATGGCTAGAACTACAGAAGCATCACTGCGAATAGCACAAACGTGCAGGCGCTTTGATCTCCTTTAGGTGGCATGTTAACATTTCAGTCGACACCTACGAGAGGGAAAAACAGCCGCCGTGTGCCTTGGAGACACGGGCAGAACGTGGCAGCCGAGGGAAACAAACACCCACGGAAAAGGTTATTCTGCTGCTGAAAGTTGCCTGCTGTTTGCTGCGGGTGAGACTGTGGCTCCTTTCACATTTGTAACATCTTAAATAACATCTCACTTAGGCACAGAAAGGCCGTCTGGCGCACGGAAAGCGCCAGCGAAATCGCCAGGAAAGGTTCTGAGGAGTCTTTGCATTTAGCTGTGCAAAATTTGTCCCGAAAACACACATACGCATACTTTGAATGCATATAAGTGGTATTTGGCACAGGAATTCCATGTGTTCATAGGAAAAATACTGTTCTTAGTGCTAAAGAATCCTGCTTGCACAGACCACTTTTTAGGACAGAATGGTTTTACTGCTAATACAAGTAATGGCTGTATCTGAAGGGCAGAATAAAAACACTTTGTATGTCGCCACCTTCTTCAGACAGCTGGAGACATTAACGCAGTGTCCCAGCCTAGCTATACATCCTCACCAAAAACATCCATCCAAAGCAATCAGGAAACTAAGAGTGTAACAGCTGAAGCTACTGAAAATACCATTTTAAACATCTTTGCAAGGGAGCTCAATTAGGTTTTGAGGTTGAGAGTTCCCTGAAGCACCTGCAAGGGTGAGAAGAGCACATTTCCATGCCAGCAGCTATTCCTACTGGCAGTAGATTCTACCTGCACCATGAACTGCAAAGACAACACATGTGTGTATGCCAATTACCAGATCCTACCAAAGCCTACGGAAATCAGAGGCTTTTTAATAATAATAGTAATTACAAATTATTTTTGAACCTGCCAACTACCCAGGACTGCCTAAACCCCCAGGATCTACCATGTTTCTCTACTTCTGAACAGTAGCGATAGTTTCCCTACTGCCTTTTCCTTTTCTCCCCCATCTCCGATGTGGGAATTAAGCGTTGTCAAACTTGACTTTACAGTCCCATGAGCCAGATATTCCTAGGAAACCCTGCCTTTGCATGAGCACCTGCCTGGGGAGCTCGGCAGAGCCCAGGACCATGAGGCTGCACGAGGAAAGCGCTCGCGCGGTCCAGAAGGATCGCCCTGCCCGGAGCCTTAGTGCGCTGCCACGTGTGCACACTGGGGCTTTCTGAGGAAAACGAGGACAAATGTTCCCGTATGCAACGCAGTCAACAGCACGAGATGTCACTTAAGCAACCACCTCTACTCATCCTTAGCTCCCAGGATTAAGAAAAGCTGGTTTAATGGGAAACCAGAGCTCTGACTTCAGGCATGTCCTCACCTTGGGCAAGCCGTGTTTCTCCACGGGTGTGTGGGGCCATCGTGGGCGGTCACGGCTCTGTGGGAAAGACCCCACGCTCCCTCCCACTCCCTCTGGAGCCGGCTTAGCAGCTGTGTTGTGATTAGAGGGCCTGAGGGTTTCCACATCCTTTCCAAACCCAATTCTGGGCACGAGGCTATTTCGAAAGCCTTCTTTTCTTCCAGACTATTTTTCCTTCCAGGCCTTCTTCGAAAGCCTTCTTTTCTTCCAGACTAGGACAGACAGGCTATTTTTTCTGCCATCTTTCACACTATAATCCTGAACACGGTGGAAAGCAGAGTTCCGTCATGACAACAAGGAGTTAGCAATGAGCTCATTCCATCAGGCAAGATGCTACCTCCTATTAAACGGACTGCAAGTCGTGTGGAAGAAGGCAATTCTCAGCAAACCTGGGACTAGAGCTTGTCTTCCTACAAGGCACAACGATGTCCAAGTCTCAGCGTCCTTAGTGCATATAAAGGACATCAAGTACAAATGACTGCAAAGTAAAGAAGGGGTTGTGCCAAACAAGACAGTTTCGGACAGCTAAGCTGCTAGGGCTTGGGGAAAGGATGACAGCATCCAGGTCCAAGTCCATTCTAATGATTTTTGACATGTCAGGTACATTTCACTTCCTTTAAATAAAAGGTAATAAATTATTTTCCTGCTCTCTACAGCGGTTCTCAAGCCTTCCAAGGCTGAGTCTTTTAGGTACAATACACACATCCAGATTTTCTGTCCAAAAAAATAAAACTCTATACAACTCAATTTTCAAAAACTATCTCAAAGCCACTTCCTCCTGTATTCATTACAGCAAGTATCACTGCAGACAGATACATGCAGACACATACAGGGTATATACAACCACAGAGGTACATTAAAACCCTTTTTTCCCTTAAGGAAAAAAGGAATGCAATACTACATTAACTCATCAAGCCTACTTCCCCATGACTTGCCACTGAAAGCAATAAAATCCACCCGTTATTAAGAATTAATAATATAATTCTTAATAATAATAAAGAATTACGCTTAAACAGAGAACTGTGGGTTCAGACCCTTGGAGACAGAGTGCAAAAATGAACACTCATGCAGTAGAACAAACTCATTCACCATAAATGGCCCAAACACTTAACACTGCTTCCTCACTATATAGAAAAATTAAGAGTTACTCATGGGATTGACATGGTAAATGTCACCACTTCTTCTGAGTTTGGGCATCCCATGCCAGGAGCTGCCTGGGCCAGCCTGGATGGGGTGGGTTGGGGTTTGGTGCTGACCCAGCCACGAGCCCAGCTCTGTGTCAGGAGGCTGCCCCAGGACACGGGCACCTCAGTTCCTATTCTGGAAAATGCACAGATTTGCAACTTAAACCACACTCCGGAATTACCATATAACAAAATATATATAATATATATGCATACACCTAGAATTACGTATATGCACATATAGGTATGCCACCCAAACTGAATGTGACAGCAAATGCTTCGTTTTTTTTTCTTCTTCATCATCCAGACTCGTAACCCAATTATACTATGCACTTCTGCACGCAGTGCAACAGGGCAACAGAGGAACATGCATTTTAATTTCCCAGTTTTGCCTGAAGTCTCAGCTGCTGGTTATGACAGTGAACATAAATCATCTAAGTAGAATATAACAAAAAGTATTACTGCATATAATAATCATTCCCACCACTTTGCAAGGAGCTTTCTGTATTTTTCTTTATCATCCAAAAGAAAATACTCTCCTCATAACTACATCAAGAACAGCCCATTTTTGGGGTTTAATAGGTATTAAGCCGTTGCTCCTTATTATTGCTCCTTAATGGGTAAACAGACGTGCAAATTTAACTCGGTGAAGAGTTTGATGACATATTTCACAAAGATGGAAAACTTCCCATCTCCAGAAATCAACTAGCCAGTCTTCCTACAATACCTCACTCCTTTAAACTTCAAATCCACTGGTTATATCATCTTGGAGAAGCAAATGTTTAGGAAAGGTCTCTGCTACAGCCATGAGAATCCTCCGCATTTTTAGCAGCATCCATTTATCCAAACCCGCACTGCTGCTCTCCCACCCACACTTAATGCAGTGAATCAGCAATTATTTTTCTAGTGTCTCTAAGTGTCAAGATTAATTTCACTATCCCTGGTAATAAAATGGTTTCAAATGACATCTTTAATCAGCAAGAAAGACTGCACTCCTCCAATAGAGACAAGCTGTCACAAAAGGTCACCAAAATGTGACAGGATAGAAATTACGTTTGTAACTTCGACTGAAATGTTAATTCCTCCTTAAGTGTTTTTGCAACTATGTTCAGGTTTTAAAGTAAGGAGATGTAGCTCTGCAATGAACTTTCATTTCTTTAAACAACCAGTCTATTCAGTTTAAAAATTTGCTCTGATCTCAGAAATGAGCACTTACAGGTGGGTGGCTCTTGTTTGACAGTTTTTGTTTTTGCTGCTGCTTTGCTTTCCACCAGGAGACCAGTTATCTGATCTCTTTATATCAAATTAACACAGAGAAACAACAGGAACAGAAACCATTTCACAAAAGCATGTTTCCATTTTTGCCAAAAATGGGTTTTAAAAAGTTAGTCTATAAATTCACCCACATTTGCATCTTCTTTTATTTAATATCTTAGAGCTACATCACAAGTCACCCATAAAATTCAGCCTAATTCTAATCACTACTGTATTAACAGCCAAGCTCCACACAAATTCTCTTCACTGGATGATCTTGTTTTACATAAAATAGTATTGCAAATCTAGATACACATAAACACATGCAAATGCCATTTACCTTAAAATTATGTGCATGGATTTATTTATTCCAGCGTGCTCTTATTTTTAAAGGATACTATCCTGTAAAACCACTTTCTTTTTTTGTATAAATAAGCTTTGGTCTGAAAATGCTGAGTACCAATAAGGTCTTACGGTTGAAAACACTTTCTGAATGGGTTTTCACATTCTCAGCTGAAAATTCCCTATCCCACATAGATCACTGAGCGCCTGAAGCCTCCAGAGGGTTTCTCCAGTCTCATTCAAATCAGAATCAATTCCTAATTATTGAAAACAATGTTATAAAAGGCCTTGAATACACACTTTGCTCGAAATTGTGAAAAAAGCTATTTGTTAAATACAGATAATGGATGAGCAAGCTCCCAACCCAAAATCAAGCACCAAGATACTCCCTCGCAGCATGATGGGAGTTACTTGACATAAATATTATTGTGAAAGACCAGCTCAACCTCAGTGCTGCTCCCCAAGTCCTCCCAGCTGTAACACGTCTATTCTAGCCTTGAGCCATCCCAGTTCTTCACGCACATTAAACCCCCAAACTTCTTGTAGTTAAATTATAAAGAATTATTAGGATATGCAACTCAGAGAAGATTCCTCAGAAGTAACACCTGCAGTAGGCAACACGAGGCTTCTAAGGCAAGAGGAAAATTCCATCAGGATGAGTTCTGGCAACCAAGACAGAATGTAATTCCATGCGACTCCATTTGGGAACGTAATTCCCAAACTTTCTGCTGTCCAAACAGCAGTATTCTCTGGAAAGCAGGCAGAAGCACCCAGCCACCAAGTTCAGGCTACACAGACACGTAAATTTCCAATCTGAGAGCATCTCTCGCTCAAAGAGAAGCATCAATCTGACAGCATTACTGAATGAAGACCTCATATTCCTATAGCCTGGCCAACCTATAAATATCACCAAAAATAATTCCTTCTCCAAGTGGTATCTGGCAATTAACAATGAACATCTGAAAATCTGTCTTCTTTACCAATTCATACCTTGCATACCCTGAGCCTCTTTAAAAGATCTGACCTTTTTCTCCATGATTTGACTTGATATTTCAGTTCACTAGGAAAACTAGGAGAATAGTATGTTTTTCTGAAAGCAAACTTTAAAATCTTCACCAAAATCTTAATTTCTTCACCAATACATTTTTTTTATCCTCTGTATTGCTCTCATAATAGTCCCTGTCACAGGCTGCTTGTAGCACCGTTGAGTGTGACCACCCCTGTAAACCCGGTATGAGCAATAAATACATAACACGGGCAACACAGTCATCTGCAGTGCAGCTAGTCCATTCCAAAGAAATAAAAGTAATCCTGAATTAGATACTACTTGAGTATCCAGGATGCAGGAGGAGTCTTGAAATTAACTCTCAAAAACATCAGGCAAGATGATTTTTATTTACAAACTAGAACAAGACAAATAAGAAAGCTGCAAATCTGCTGGAACTAACAGCCTCTTCCATGCACTAGCGACAGGCAGCAGCCTCCCTAGAAATCAAACACACCCATACCCATGCTCTGCCACTAAGACAAGATTAAAGTTTATCCTTTTAAACACCAGCTAAAGCTGTAAGTTTCGGATAAGACGCCTAAATCACTCCATGTTCAAAACGCTGAACACAGAAGAGAGGGTAGTCTGTACTTTTCTAACCTCCACCAAATGCATTTGCAAAAGAGAAGAAAGGTTTGAATGAATGAATACCGCCCTGGTTTTCAAAATACTATATATTTAGACATTATCCGAGGAGATGAAACTCCAGACATTAGTTCAGATTATGGATGACATTGGGCAATTTTGGTACAGGCCAGTCTAAGTCAAAAGACTTCTACTGACAGAAAAATGTTTAATAGCAGAAAGTTTTGGTGAGCGAGCCTTCTCGTTCCTTTTATTACAGCTCTTCAAAGCAGTCCATTGCCACAGAACCTCACCCAAAGTTTCTGGAATGTTTCTCCTTTCTCTTGTCACGTCCGATAGCCTAATTATCGTTCCTTCTTTCCGCTCAGTTTTGAAACGCAGTCGTCCAGACTCTTCATCGTCATCTTCCTCTTCATCGGATTCTTCTTTGTTTTTTTCCTGAAGTTCTAGAGATTCAATAGCTGCCTGAAACACAAAACAGCCAACATGAATACTGAGAAGTCTAGTTTCTCATCAACAATAAGACTTAGAAGACAAAGCTTTAAGGTCCCTGTATACGAGTTTTTCTAGCACTACACATTAATTCTTCTACATACATCTGAAAATAAAGATCAATGAGTAATAAGGGTTTAAGGATGCTTTAAATACATAGACATTAAGTATAAATTTTGAATGCCTACCAGCACAACATACTTTGCTGTCATGTTTAAGGGGATATTGAATCTTTTGTTAAAACCAACATCTAAATAGCAACTACTCTGGGGAATGGATCAACATTTCAGGATTGACTAAGATATCAGGATATTGAGTATTAGCAGATTCCAGTAATCTTGATCCTTAAAAATAAATTAATGACTGCTAATAACTGTCATTGCAATGAAAAAATACAGATAACCTCACATTTCTCAATTATATTCCCCTAGCTATGCACAAGCTCTACTTTTTCTCCTCTTTAAATATTTCCCTGTTTTAATTCAGTCGCTGATGAAGAGAACATGGAAGCGGATTACATAAAATTTCAATAAACTAAATGTGTATATTGGAATGCTGCTCCTTTGCCCTCATTTACATTCTGGTTCTCTCTATAGCAGAGAACATCTATTTAGATGAAACAATGTCCCAAATGAAAATGGATTCCTCTCCTTCAAATTAAACAAAAAAATTAATTTCATTTCCCTCCACTGGCATGATAAAATTAATGTACAGAATATTACACAAGTTATATTTGATTGCTGGAGTTGAAAATTAGAAAGTTTGTAATATAGTATGATTTTCCATAAAATATTTTGTTCCTGTAGATGTAGGGTTTTTTTCTGCTTCACAAAGATGTGCTAGAAGCCTATTCATAGAGACTACATATGCATTTTAATTCTTGGCACAGCCATTAAATGTATCACAACTTCTATTCTGCTTGAGGACAGAAAGAAAAAAAGTCATGAGCGAAATATAACATGCAGGAAATGGTTTCATCTCCTAATTAACCAGGCTGGTGCAGCAATTTATACGAAAAAGGCATTGCCAAGTGTGTCAATCAGATGGACAGATACTAAGCCAAACATGAAGACAATGATTTAATGGCAGGATGGTGCTAGAGACTGCAGATTTCTTCATCTCAGATGCCAACGTCATCCAAAAACAACAAGAAATACTGGGACCAAGATTAGCAACAGGATCTTGCATGATGATTTCTACTTCAGGAGCAGAATAACAAGTGAAGCTCAAGTCAGTCCTTTAAAAGTGAAGGAATGAGAACAGACAGCTTTGGTCTGGTGAAAAAGAGATCTCTGCACGTAGTTTTCCCACGTCACGTTCAATTTAACATCTCCTCCTTATCTCAGATGTATTTTACCCAATGCAAGCATACATTTAAGCTTAAGTATTGTACAATCAGACCTCTTAAAAATACTTCAAGGTATAGCTAATGATATCGCCGAAAATTTAAAATACAAGCCTTAAAGCTTTTCTTTTTTAAAAAAAAAAAAAAAAAAAAAAACTTTGTTTCTTCGCACAGACTTTACCATATCAAACAATAAAGTTTAAAAAAGAAATCCCCACACACAAAACAAAACAAATCACAACAGGATTGCAGACAAAAAAAAAAAAACAAACCCAAGTCTGAAAGAAATGCAACTTTTAAACTCAAATCCAAACTGAGGACAACAGGCCTGGCTAACAGATGCATGTAAAGTCAAAGCAGCTCAGAGGAAAGGCAGTTGGACCTTGTGGAACAAGCAAGGGTTGTTAGCAAGGGAAAAAGCCCCTGTTAACCAGGGCTAAAAAAAACCACTACTTCCAGAAGAGAGACTCCCAAAGGAGTAGTAATATTTCTATCAAATCCGTGACTTTGAACACCCACAGTAAAACCCACAGTTCTGCTACTCCAGTGCTCAGGATGAGGATTTACAAGTGGGAAAAGTGGGAATTGGAGTGGCTGCTTTGCAGGAGGAGTTGATCTCTCCCTGCACTGGGCCTTCTGCCTTTCTTTACTGCACAAACCCTAGAGGCAGCTGGGGTTCACATCCCTCCCAAGCTATGTTGGGATTCCCATTTTTATCCATCATAGCCTTAGTTCAGATACAGTTTAGTCTTTGGGGAAAGAGCTTCACTTAAGGCTCTGCATATGAATATATGGCAGATTGCAGAGTGAGGTATAACGTAAAGTGGTCTGAATTGTCCTGAAAAGCGTTGCAATATTTTAATGAAAAGCTATAGAAAATAGCTGTGGAAAAACCATTTGAGTTGTAAGAATCAGAATAGCCTACAAAACAACTACCGGCCTGTGCAACAAAAATACTTTTCTATACAAAATCTATCTGATCCTTCTTAGCCACTTGTACTAATTCTGTTGTCTCTTGGGTCTAATTCATATTATTCATCACCATAATGCTTGGGTCACCTATTACCAAGCACTAAATATCAAAGATCCAGAATAAAAAAAACAAAGGAGCTAATGAAAAAGCAAATGTGAAGCCAAGTCAATGCTTGAGCATCAAACTAACTGAACTATGTCCAGGCCTGATTATAGGTATGATTGAGGCATTTATATTAGCTGTGATGGAGATGCAAACACGTCTGACAGTCAACCATATGTTCTCTATGTATAGTTGCAGGAAAGGTTATCCGAGCTGGAAGGGGTCATACACTCTGCCCCAAAACTTGTTGGTATTTGTTGTAAGGCTCCTTCAGATCATCCTTGCAAACTCCAGCCTAACAGGGTGAGCTGCTTCGCCAAGATGACAGCACATGAATGGGTCCCACTTTGCAGAAGACAAGAAAGTTACACACGAAAGGACACAAGTGAAGGCACAGAACTAATAGATAATGGTAGAGGATTCTGATTAATACCTGCTAATCATGAATAACCACCTATACATAAGCAGCCCTTGAACAGCCACTGGGGGTCACCTGACTTGTCCGACAAGGCTTCTTCCCAGCTCTTCTCAAAGGCAGCTAAACATTCCCCATTAGGACACCTTGCACTAACTACTGAAGAGCTTGGCTGATTTTCATTGTGAAGAAAAATACTGACCTTACTCCCACCACAAGGTCAGCGTTTCTTGCCATGCTCATTAAGTAATTAAGCCATAAATCCCAGTCACTGACCAGAAGCTCCCTCCCAGGGTTAATCTGTGCTCTGTCCCCAGAGCACTAATTCCCATGCAGTTGTAAGAAGGAAAACAGACAGAAAAAGCCCAAGGAAAGCATGAGAAAACATTAGTCAGCCTTAAAAACTGTGATCTCGTATCCTAAACAATCTCAAGTGTTCTCATTCAAGAGCTCTTAGGAAGAGAGAGCAAAGATGTGCACAGCAAGTCAATTTTGCGGAGGCTAAAGCATATCCCTTGCACATAAGGTATTAGGAAGGAGGCACAAAGACATTTTATTCAAGTGAAGAAGCAACAGAGGCTTCTACCGCAAACTAATATCAAGGCAGCAGCCGTGGAGATCAAGAAATAACAGAGAGCTGATAAAAGGATATTACACCTGTTCCAAAAGCACCTGCACCTAATGGATAAAAAGCAGGGATAGAAACTGGAAACTGAAAGTTTCCAAGTAATTTTTTTTTTAAATATACGTAAAATCTAACTGCTCCAATTCATACTCTTTATCATTTTCTTCAGGTTTACAAAAGAAATCTTCTGAAAAAAACTAAAATTTGTGTTTTAGGTAGGCCCAGCTGGAACAATCTCATAGACAACACTTGTTTTCTTTGAGAGAATAACAACTTAGAGGAAAAAAACAATATGTATGTAGTACATCAAAGTATTTTCTTGATTAAGGTTTTCTTTGTTTCTTATCAGCTTACACCAAGACAGTTCAAATTAAGTTCAAATTAATGCAATGAGAAATTGCATTAATTTCTCATCACATTACAGAAATTTCTATCTTTCAAGAAGAAATTGGAGACTTCACAGAAGATTAGTTCTGATAGTAAACCAACCAAGAAAGCGTAAATTCTAATTTTAGGAGGATTCACTCTCAGGATCAGTAGAAATAATTAGTGTTGTTATTGCTCAATATATTTAGGACGTGGCATACTCATGTAACTGGCAGTTCTACCACACCTATCTGATGCTGAAATTTCTGCCTACTGGATTTTAATTTGTACCTTGTGAAGACAAAAGTATATTCTGAAGCACTACTACACCTTTTCTTCCAGAGTGTGTTTGGTCAAAATCCAAGCAACAGGTCTCCCAGTTCCCTTATTTCAGCAATTGCCCCCATCATGTTCCAGTCTCCTGGCCTGACTACCTTTTTTTCTCTGGATTTAGAGAATTTCTTCATGCAATGCTGTAAGAGGTTGTTTTGTTTAATGCAGAAATTAATTTCAACCAATGGATAATACGGCAAATTTTAACCAACAGACAATACTACTATTTATTTGTACCTACTGCTGCTCCATTTTTGGGCTGCATTTGTAACACTGCAACACCAATAACAACGTTTAGTGTGGATGAACAAGGGTAATCAGATTTAACCTCTTACATACTATTTGAATATAACTCAACAATATTTGGATCTGGAAGCACGTGCCTAACTACACTATACAGAGAAATGGATAAGCTGCAAAGACAACCTCTCCTGCTGGCAGACTCATTGGGTGAGACAAACTGAGAGCCTACAAATAAATTTAAATAGGACATATCCAAAACTAGTGAAGTTTACATTAGGAGTCAAAGGACCCACTGTTTTAGAAGCAAGAAACCTGTGGCAATCTAGGAGCCATCAGAACAAAGCTAGAATACAGAATAACTGAATATAGACGTGGCCAAACGTCCACATTATGCGATTAGCAACTACTGTAACAGCTTTTCTAGCAAAGTCAAATTAAAAAGGGAATTGTATTCATGCTGTCTTTTGAATGAAAAGAATTTAATTCTGAATTATAACACAATTCTAGAAAATATGTTGCTTACAGAATTTGGACTGGTTTATATTCTAAAAGATAATGTAGCTTTTCCTTAGCTGGGAATACTGCCAAACTATGCACAGTTTAGATGCTGTCCTTGCTTTCACCATCTCCTCGAGACTGTGGTTATAGATAGCCCAGTTGTTCAGACTGCGTGTAAAATACCAGAAAGAAAGCACTTACAATTCGGTGAATGACTAATAAGCATTTCTTCTAAGATCTTTTGTTTGTTTTGAAAGGTATATTTAGTGATTAGGAAGTAGGAAGCTTTTAGATATATTTGGCATAGAATTGCATATTGCACAGCAAAGGACTGGACAGCAAAGGTGTCCCTGTTAGTAAAGAAGATTATTTAATTATAATGTTTGCTACAACTATAATGTTTGCTACAACTAAAGAGCACCACAGCACACCCATTTGTTGGAACTTTACAGAACAGCACTGCTGCGTCTTTGAGGAATTAATTTCCTGATGAATTAAGGCTCCGAAGAACAGAATCTGCCTACGCTTCTCAGCAGGTATTCTACTCAATCCTATTTAATTAAGAACTGGAATAAAAGTAATATTTATTGAAGTAGATTCCTGACGGGGAAAAGAAAAAAAAAAAAAAAAAACCCTTTACCTTCCACATAAAGAATTTGTTGCAAATTAAGAACATGTATAAGAGCACTGTCCCACACCACAAGTAGGGAACATAACCTTGTTAGGTTTTGACAGGAGCCTTTCTGCTTGGGAATGATGGAACTCACCATTTTTCCTAATCAAAGAACACAAATCAACTTTACAGAACTTCCTCTACATATCTTTTTTCAAAGCTAGCTGATCTTCATCGTTCTGACATATCAGAGCTTTGGTGCTCACACTCCTTCCCAAAATGGGATTCTCGCCCACTTGAGAACTACATCTACAGTATTAATACCAACAAATTGTCTATCTGGAAGGTGTCACATTACAGTTATGAGGGATTTAACAAGACAACCCAGACATTGCACAGGATTGCTATCATTCTTCTGCCCAGAGGAGACTCTGAAGCTTCTAAGGCTAAAACTAAGTTAAAATATGGACATTTTGAACTCTCCCTTATGAGAGAGTTCCCCCAAAGGTTGGGAAAGGGGAAATGACAAAAACAGAGACAGTTTCTTACCTAGCAATGCAGATAAATTCCTTAACTCCAAATTCCGAAAAAAATGGTATTTTAAATTTCTATTACGCTCACAACATACCTCTTCTGATTCATTTGTCATTGCCTGGGTATCTTCTAGTTCCTCATCAGCTGGATAATCTTCTGGCTCTTCCATTGCTTGCTCATTATACGACTGCATGTAATCTTCATCCTGAAATAAGAACACGAGATGGTAAAAAGACATACACAAACTTTAAAAAAATACAAAACACCTGCTAAGAGTCGAGACTGTGCACACATCCACGTTACTGCTGTCGCTACCTGAAAGTATTGTACCTATCAGAAGTGTCAATTGTAAGTGACAGATCATATAAGATGTAATTATCAGGGCTTCTAACTAGTCACACTAATTTCACTCTTATTGAAAACACAACAAAAACAGCTTTCATCCAGACTCCAACAATGCCATCATAAAGGTCCAATTTATTTCTGGAGAGTTGCATCCTTACAAATTCAATGAACCAACGACTGCAGTAATTGCTCGCTGAAGATAACGTGTCTACAAAACATGTACATTAACATCAAGTTTTCTCTCTTAAAAATATAAATATTCTAACACATTCTGCAGTTATTTATATACAAGATAGATTCTATATAAATGAATAAACAAGTAGTGCAAAAACTTTTCTAAAATCAGCAAACTTATTTAGTAAACAACTCACTGAATACATCCAGTTCCAACTGAGATCAAATCACTTAGCAATTAAGTGCAGTGCATGTTCTTTAATACATTGCTTAAATTATATCAAATTATGCATGTGACATTTTCTGAACTAACCTCCAATCTCTTTATTCAGGTTTAGACAGTTCTCAGTTACAAAAAGGATGAATGAGCAGGACATCAATCACTTTGGAATATTAGCACCTTAAAGATGTCTTTAGCAGGTCAATAATCTTTTCACCTTCGAAGGACTTTATCAGATCTTGTCTAAAGCCTGGATAAAAGCTTTTGCATTAAGTACTTCTAACAATTGGCAGTGTATCTCCACCACACAAAGCTGTTTTCTTCCTTAAGGATACAATCCTCAAGGTCATGATTCTCAGCTGCCTTCCAGCATGACAAAGGAGCATTACCTACCGCCAAACAAGCTGTCAACACAAACTTTGTCACAGCCTAGATAAAGAAACTGGCAGACAGTGATAATAGGTCTAATTTTCCCTCCTCCTTAGGGAGGTAAACAGATTTTAAATCAGTCTAAAACCTTGTGTGTGTGAAGCAATGTTATCTTTTAAGACACAATAGAAGGAAGCTCACTGGAAATTCATCTAGAGGTTCATTGATTTCAAGGTCTAGCACTTCATCTTCTTCTCCAGGCTCTTCCCCATATTCTATTTGGTCTTCTGACAGTTCAGGATCGTTGCCTTCATAGTGTCCCTCCTCTGCATACTCCGAAGCATAAACTTCAGGTGCTTCTGACTTGCCATAAACTAGTTCCCCTTCCCCTTGGTCATATTCAGACTCGTGTTCGATGGATTGATCGTTCATGGTCTCAGAGAGCTCGTACGACGAGAGCAGGCCAGAGGTGGTGTTGAGGCTAATGGTGACACCTTGAGAACTACAGCAAAGGAGAAAAAGATTCAAAGACTGAAGTGCAACGGCCAAGGGTACTTAGGAAGATTGAGCAAAGCAGCTAACAGTTACATATTTTCTAAGATGGTAGAAAAAAACCTATACCCCTTGTGCTATTTGACTCCATGCCATGTGCTCGTAACACACATTGTACCACAGCTTATCACCAGCTGCAGCCTGTTTGACCAACGGGATCAAAGCAACCAGATGGTCTAATGGGTCACACTGCCAGAAGTCCTGCTTAGTAACCGAAGCAGAGCAGTCGATTTTAATTCCAGGACTAACAAAATTACACAAAATTACTATAACTGCATCGATTTTCCCAATCTCTCAAAATAGGCTAGTAAAGCTTTTATATATATATCTTTATATATATATATATGTGTGGCAAGATGATAAAGCATATCCCAAATAAATATATACATCTTTATATATATATACACACACACATATATATATATATATAAAATTCATTAATAATTATCCTTCTTGATTGCCTTAAATTGGAGCTTACATTTTTAAGACTTATCATCTTACTAAATAGTTCTTGACTGTATATAGTGTGGATTATTTTATTTAAATGTGTAAGGCTTACTCTAAACTAGTAACACAACAAGCAAGCACAGATCTTGAACAAAGGCAAAGGCGTTTAAAAACTGGGAAGAATCATTTCCAGGAAAAGCAAAACTTGGGATTTGTTGCTTAGGACAGCCACTATCATCATCAAATAGAAGAGTGAACGGTAACTGCCGACTAGTTATGAGACTGCAGGCATGGTGGGGGGAGAGGCAGGGCTTTGTGTATAGGGAAAACAAAGAAGATTTTATTTGAATTACATCCCAATTATTCCTTATTTTCATAAAAGTTTGGAAAATTTTGGGATGGGCACAAGATCCAGGCAGCTGGATCAATCAAATGAGCTAACAAGAAAACCAAGATATTAAACAGAATTATTATTATCCTTGCATCTGTGCAGCACAAATGGATTCAATGCGAAGAAGAGGCAGGAAAGATGGAAGGGGAGAAAAGCAAGGAGCCGGCTAAAAACACAAGGTCTAACAAAACCCTGCTTCCAGGGAGTAATACCATCACAGCAAGCACTGCTACTGGGATGCCCCATTTTGAGGGAAATGGTCCTGCCCTCATTCCTGCCAGGAATCTCACCCCATCCTAATCTCTCCAACACAGCAAGGCCCTTCCACTTCCAAAGCTGTGCCAAAGATGGAGAGGAGGTGGTAGAGCACCACAAGTAACTCCCTTCAGACTCTACTCTTGGAGTACCATGTAGCAAGCCAAGGAAATGCAGGCAAAGAACAAGGGTAATTAATTAAAAGTAGCAGTGCTGCATCACTCCTGCGCCACAACCACCTTCCCCCTTCAGTCCTAACCTAAAAGCTAAACCTAAAAATGCCAAGACTCTCCTTTCTACTTTAACAGTCCAGAAATTCAGCATTTGTGTCACCCCAGAGCACTCTCAGGACAAGATTCCCAAATTGCAACCCTGCAGCCTCTGGAAGGGCTGTGCTGATGTACATTGCATGCCAATACTTAAGTCGCAACTTAAGACAAAATACACTTTTTTGAGGCAAGATAGAAGCAAAACAACTGTAGAGGCAAAGAAAGCCTACAATGACATGGAGCACGAACAGATCAAGAGCACTAAAAATCACTAATAAGCACAGGAGATGCTGTAATTTCTTCTTTATATGCAGTTTTATAGCTTCTGGTTATGCTCATTTTATTAAATCCCCCCAAAAATTGTTTTGCTGGAGTGTTAATAATGCTACTGAACACATTATATAGGCACAATATTAGGTAGTTGGCTCGGTTAAAAGCTAAACAGTTTCAAGTGTATACCAAAAACTTCAGTTTGGAAAACTGCTTTGAGTCCTGTTTTGCATAGAAATTTTAACAAATTAGTCTCATGTATACAAAATCCCAGCAGTCTAGAAAAATAACAACATGGGGGAAAAAATTAGTAGTAGTAATAGCAGCAATAATTTTGAATACACTCTCCAAAAATTATTAGTAGAATTTAGAATAAATATACCCAAAATCTGGTTCCTCTTCATTGTCACTTTGCAGAAGATCATCATTCAGTTCTTCATCAGATAAGTCTGACTGATTCTAGATTTTAATAAAAAAAAATAAATCATGATCATAGAAAGACACAAAATACTAACTAACTACTGAACTTCTGATAGCTCTGAACAGTGAGCAATCTTTTCCCGATTAACAAATTCTACACTGAGGCCACATTTTCAGTGAAATTGCATAATTATATGGTAACAGATACGCTAAGCATCTGATTGTACTAGTCAACAAATGTGAAAATAAATAGCTGATAGTCTCACAGAAATTGTCAGCATTCAAATATGCTTTGTTTTCAAACATGTCACTGGTCCATTCCCAGATACAACAAAAGCTGATGACTTAAAGAAATACTAGGATATGAGAAAGGTTAGCACTGGTGCTGTTTTTGAACTGCCTTGGGACCTTGAAGCTTTAGGGAGGTCAAGAAAACACACCAGGTTTCTGTAGTTTCTAGAGGGCAGAGTCTCCTAAGGAGGAAGGGTATCATGAAATTAAAAACACTGGCAAACAACTCCTAATTTATCAGCCATGGCTTCAGTTGTTTCATTTATATTTACTTCCCCCCTCTGCCTTTTAATAATTACCCGCTGGAAAAGATAACTGCATAGCTTTGTCAGCAACATTATTTCCATCCCCTAAAGCAAAAAGGGCAGAAAGGTTACACAAGGGCAGATTTCTCTAAAAGTACTTGGATGAGATTAAGTAGAAGGAAATTTAGGCTTAATAGCTCAGGGAAAACTTCTTGAGAAATCTATTATTACTCTTATTCCACAAAGGAGTCCATACCCACAAATACTGGCAAGAGCCCTGTACCCTGGAAAGCTTAATTTAAGAATAGAGAAAAAAAAAACACCACACATACCAGACAAATTCTGTTATTGAGCACTGTTAATAAAGATTTTTTTAAACGAAATAAGGACATATATTATATTTTTCATCATTTTATATACCTATTACGCATAACATTACCTGTGTGATTAGGCACCTCAATTAAAAAACACTTTTACAAGATCTGCGGCTCTCCAACACAAGCCTATCCACCTCCTACCATGACCAAATTTTGTAAACTACTTCTTAAATAACCTGATTTAGGAGACGGGAGCTCATGCCAGAGTCCTACCTTCTCCTGCAGCTACCAGGCAAATCCAGCCTGCACTGAGCTCTCTCACACAGCTCAGCTTTGCCTGTAGGTATCTTAGGGAGGGGTCTGTAGCATCATGAGGGGTTTCCCTAACCTCAGTTCCTGCCACATCCCTTCCTTAGGGCAGGAAAGGAAATCCCCTGCCTATTTTTTCTGGTATTTTGATGAGAAGCTTTGAATAGGCAGGAAACAACCAAAATTGTTTGGTTTGTTCTTTTTGATATTACAGTCTATACACGCTACACAAAAAATGGCTCAGAAAACCATCTCCTTTTGTAACATGGCATTACAAGAAGAAATAGAGCCTATCTTAGAAATCTTAGATCATCTTAGAAATTTCATTAAAAAAAAAAAAAAAAAA